TTTACTCTCCTTTCCCCCCACCCCCTTTCCTGAGTTTTTTTTTATATATATATATATATATATACACACAGATATCATTCCCGTAGTCTATGGGCCATCCCTCTAAAATGTTCAGTGAGTTCATTTAGTCCATGACTTCGGGCTCCATCCGAAGCTAAGAAATCAGCTTTCAAAGAGCTATATATCACATGCATAATGGGAACAGATAAAATATATAAATATCATTTATATTTATGTATATTCTAATGGTGATATGTGTCTCATTCTCCAGTGTAGCTGGTAGCCAGTAATTGCTTAAAGTTAGAAAAACCTTGTGCCCTGGTTGCCAGTTCATTCTCGTGGTGTGCATGAGAATAAATCACTTCGATTTATTCACTTTTTCATGATCTAAGTCACATAATGTTGATATTTATGGTACACACAAACCCCTTCCTAAAATTCCTAATTACGAAAGTCATACATGTGTCAGGAATCCAAGTCCTTGAACCTCTTATCAGTATTTTTCTCAGCAGTTCTCCTCGTTTTACTTGTATTTTCAATCCAGTAGTATCTTAATCCAGTATTAAATCACATTTGGGAATACTCTTCCTTCCTTGAAATTTCCATGCGAAAGAGTTCTTACCTGTCTGTGGCCTTTTGCCTTTGTTCAGCAAGAGCCATTTCCAAGAGCTTCTGCTCATTTCACTTTTCTGTTTTCAACACCACACCAGAAAGGTGGGAGACCGTACAGCTATTTCTGGTATGTGACATGCATTCGTTTGCTTTCTTCTGCATCGTATCTCTGGAGACTGCCATATTTCAAAGAGTAGGCCTGTAAGCACACTGGACTTTGCCTGATCTGCTTGAGTAACACATGCTTTGAAGCATCTGGCGCTTGACATCCATGAAGGCAAATAATCAAGCTGAAATACAGTCACAACCTGTTACAGAAATCCCCATGCCTCTAACAGCCAGTTAGAAGGAAATGGCCAGAAGAGTATTGTTAAGCCAAGATGAAAGATCCACCAAGGCAAGTTGGATAAGAGCGCTAAACTGAACATCTCCCACGCAATCTTCAGGTTTCTTGAGTTAAAGATTTAATGCCTTTTTGAAGGTCTGTTTGTTATCCTTGGAACTTGTCATTCCATATTTATGGACAAAGCAGTTGCAAAGGGCACAGGCAGAGGAGATGTGTGTTTTCTTTCCCCTGCCAGAGGTGGGGAAATGAGATGCTTTTTGCCTGATACATTTTACATATCTTTATGAACCTTCTGTGTCTAGTATCTTTTCTCACCTGCTTTTGAAAGAGAACTTCCTACAGCAGATGGGTCCCATCCTATCTCATGCTTTCATGGTAGAAGATTTTTGTGCTGTCTACAAGATAAGAATGTCTGACTCTCCACCAAAAACTTCATTTCAGTGCTGTCAGTATTTCTGAAGCAGTGAAATTACCATCTCACAAAATGTGGTAAAGTGCTGAGAATTTTATTACAGTCACTCACACTTTCCACATCCTTATTCTTTAATGCCAACTATTCTCTCTTTCTCTACAAACACAAAAGCAACACGGGCTTTCTGGTATCATTGGTGTGTTTTTCACTCTTACTTTGTGTGAGCTGTTACATCTGAGAAGCATCAAGATATTTGCCTGTACGGCACACGTGAAAGGAGGCTGTTCAGCAACAGATGGACGTGAAAACAAGCCGTGTTTACTTCCAGCGATTTCCCATCTGTGGGCACCACTCTTCCCGGTAGCACAAACCCAAAGAACGGGCAGTGGGACAGAGCGGTTGGGCCACCTGGGTCCCCTCGCTGCCCTTCTGGGGTTTCTCAGCATGGGCAGCACTGTCTGCCCTGTTCTCTGTCCTCTGGAGGCCAGTACAAATATCGAGCGTAAATATTCCTTTTTCACGGTATCTCACAATTCTGTGTACGACACCCAGATCCTCGTGGTTCCTTCCATTTATACGCTCATTCCCAGGCTTGCTTGGTTTTTGGGAAGACCTGGCCTGCAGTCCACAGCGCACGGCTGTCCCCCCCGAACCGTCACCCCGCTTTTCCCGTGAGCGCAGCCTTCACCCGGCCTCTTTCACGGAGAAGCGAAGAAACCGCGTTCGGAAAGACCTGGAGGTGC